CCCCCGCCGCCGCCGCCGCCGCCGCCGCCGCCGCCGCCGCCGCCAACGAACGTTAACAGGCGATGTGAACCGTCACTGGGCCGTCGGCGGGGAGGCGGAGATCAAGCTCAGGGACTCGCTGCAGGCGATGCCGCTGTCGCAACTAAAGCATAGGCAAGCGATCCGCTGTTGCACATAGGCCGCGGTGTACGTTTCACATACATCGATCCCAGGCCTGCTCGATCTCTGTCGCCCCCCCTGAGTCTTGCACACGTTTTTGTATTCCACGCTGCCCCCCCCCCCCCCCCCCNCCCCCCCCCCCCGGCTTTTGTTGTTTCGGGGTGACCGTACACCAGTGACGGTGGTTGCTGAAGCCTCGCCGCAATAACTCTTACTGCTATCCCTCACATTTCTTTTGTGCTGTTGCCTGTTCCGGCGCGTTCCCCCGTGTCTTTTCCCCGCCGTCTCAGGCTCGAGGAGGAAGGCCTCCCGGTCCCGCGGTCGTGGGCGGTTCTGAAGCCCAAGGCGGACATCGTGACGGGCAGCGCCGACCTCCGCTTCGGGGTCGCGCCACCTCCCGCGCTGCTGCCGGCGGCGCCGTCACCCCCCCCCGAGTCGGCGGCGGAGGTAAGGCGTGGTGTGGGGAGGTAACCGGTGCGGGTACACACCGCGGGTGCTGCTGCTGCTGCTGCTGCTGCTGTTGTTGTTGTTGGTGGTGGTGGTGGTGTGGCGGGCGTTGTTATCGTCGTCCTTGGTGCCGTAGGCTTGGGGGTCGTGCACTAACATTGGGCCGCTGTTTTCTATCCGGGGACAACAACGGCTCACGCAGTGTATGCAAAAGCTGTGACAGACAAGTGACAGACAAGGAGCAAAGCAAGGGTGGGAACGGATCTCTGAGTTTTTTCTTTTCTTTTGCTTGTGCAGGGTGACGGTGGAGTAGAGAGCGGCGGCGGCGGCGGCAGCAGCAGCAGCAGCAGCAGCAGCAGCAGCAGTAGCGGCAAGGCGAAGGGGAAGGGCAAGAGAATGAGGGACGAAGGACAGGCCGACTTCGACGTGCGGAAGCTCCTCAAGGTCTCGGACACGATTAGGGTGGGCGTCAACTCGGAGGACAACGAGGCTACCATCGAGGTGAGAGGTCGGCGTGAACACCACGTAGTTCACGACAAGTCCATGGTTTGAGGCGATTCACGGTTGTGGGCCGGGATAACGCCGGCCGGGTGATTTCCGGGATCATGGTTTGGGGTTGGATTTTCAGTTACCCTGGCACAAATGCCGCCCGGGCAGACAGCTCATCGTCGTTGCCCCCCCCCCACCCATGCTCTGTCTTTTGAGCCTGAACCAAACCCCATCGCTGATCCTGATGTCCCACCCCTACATTACCCCGATATGAATCCCCAAGGGCATCGAAGAGAGATCGGCGACGCTGGCATGCGAGTGGTCGGAAGGGGCAGTCAAGGCCGGGTCGGTGTATCGGTTCTCCACTTCCACTCGGAGGAAGCCGTACGTTGACCTGCTTGTTGCAAGCGACAAGGCCAAGAAGGACACGGAGGTTCAGGTCGCGGGCTTCAGCGGTGAGCGGGATCGGTTGCTGTTGTTGGTTTTGTCGGGGTTGGGCGTTGTTGTGGTTAATGCTGGTGTTGTTTGTTGGTGGTGCTTTTTTATGACAGCAGTGGTGGTTGTTTTTGGTGGTGGTGGTTTTGTGGGATACATCTCTTGCGGTTGTTGCTGTTGTTGCTGCTGGTGGTGGAGCGTAGAGCGACACATGAAGACTGTTGATTGCCGTTCGAGATAATACCACACCACAGCATCCGAAGGGGATGTGTTTATGTGTCAAACGCTTAGGGTGTGGGAGGAAGAAAAAACCGGCTGTACACTTACTTGGCTTACGTTGGTGCTGTTGTGGGGGTAATTTCGTCCGTTCGTCGTAGCATGTGCCGCGTCAGCAGCGCTCGCAGCTTTTGCACGGTGTGCTCGTCCCTTGTGACGTTCGAGACAATGTTTCACACACACACACGAACACATTTCATTGGTCAACCGCTTATATGGTGCGGTCGATGCTAATGGTTATTACATGCACACACACACAGGAGGTCAGCCGTCTAGCGCGGTCGATGCCAATAATAAAGACACGCACACATTGTCTGTGTCCCTGCTGTACCACCGCCACCTTTTCGGCGTCGTTCGAACTCCCCCGCTCGTTCTCTGCCCCCGTTCGCCCGTTGCCCCGCGGCACGTACTGTACTTGGACGAACACGGAAACCGCGACGCCACCGCGGCCATCACCACGGGCAACAACCTACCTTTGTATCTAGCCATCTATAAGGCAATGGCGGGAGAGCCGGTGTCGTGTCCCATCTGCATGTGCAGCGTAGTCCGCCCTACCGTCACCAAGTGTGCGCATCTGGTGAGTGGACGTTTGGGCGCCGCTCGCTGCCTTTCGCGACAACCATCCGCGCAGTCGAAGACGGACACACTTTCGATCTGACCTGCTGTTTTTCTCCCGTAGCTGTAGCTTGAACTAGCCCGCGTCACTGCGTGCCAGAGTGTGTTTTTCTTGGTAGAAACGAGCATACATTGTACATTGGAATATGTCAGCACAGTATAGTGCTGGCCTCTACCAAGAACATTACCGACACCCTGGTCCACAGTCACGCAAGTCTAGTCCGAGCTACAGCCACGGGAGAACAACAGTGGTACATTTTTTCGTTCTAGACAGGTGTACCCCTCTTTGGGTAGTTGGTTCGTGACCACGCAAGGCGTCTGGATCAGTCAGTTTGACCACCGTAAGGATATTTGAAGGTACGGAGGGGAGACCGGTACGTTTTTTTTTTTCATGTCAAGACAACAAGTTGAAGCAGCTTGTAGTAGCCAGACACGCTACTCAGGCGCCCAATTTGATGAGCCGCACCTCTTCCGGCGGCTTTTTTTGCGTTTTGTTGTGTTTTCTGTTTCTCGTTTGTTCTCTTTCATTCGTATTTTTTCCGTCTTTTCGCCTCGTCCTGCTGTTTGTTTGCGCGCCCTTCAGTTCTGCCGTGAGTGTATCTCGCGGGAGCTCCAGAGAACTCCCGCCTTCGGCATGATCCAACTTCCTCAGGCCAAGTGCCCCATCTGCCGACGAACGATGAAGGGGTGAGCTATAGGATGGAGAGAGTCGGGGGGCGAAAAAGGGATGAGAGAGAGTGAGAAAAAAATGACAGAGACCGAGAGAGGAAGAGAGGGAGAGAGAGAGGGAGAGGCGCGACAGACAGGCAGTCAGAGACAGAAAAAGCGAGAACAGATAGAGGGATTCGCGGTGGCGCTGGCGTCATTTTCTTCGCGAAGACACTTTTCGACGCGGTCGATGCTCCTTCGGAGAAACTCACACGCATGACACCATGACACACAAGCTCACACGCGCCCCCCCCCCCCCCCCCCCCCCCCCCCCCCCCCCCCCCCCCCCCCCCCCCCCCCCCCCNTGGAAGAGGCCATGGCAATCGACGCTTCTTCTGCCGCTGACAACAGCGGAGACGCTGGCGCCGGTGCAGCAGAAGGAGGGCCTGCCGAAGCAAGCGAAGGCGGTGGTAGCAGCAGCAGCAGCGGTAGCGGTAAGGGCAAGAAGAAGGCCAGGCGGGAAGGGTCCGAGGACGAGAAGGAGGAAGTGGCCGAGGAACCAACATGCGGACACTCACACTCACACGAAACGAGCACCGCCGCGGGGGCGGGAGCTTTGGCAAGCAACGATTCCTCCGCCTCTGCCGCCGCGCCTTCTGACCGCGCCGCCGCAACCTGCGGCGGCGGCCGCAGCGGCAGCGGCAGCGGCGGGGCCCGAAGCGGCGGGACCGGACGCGTGGCCGCAAGCTCCAATGGGAGGAGCGGCGTTGACCCCACCTCTACCTCTTCCCGAGGCCCTAGCGGAGTGTCGACCGGTGACCCCAGATCGGCGGCGGCAGGTGCTAGAGCCGCCGGGGCAGGGTCGGGAGCAGGTAGTGGCGGGGTGGTTGCGGGAGCGGCGCCGGCGGCTGGAGATGAGGACGGTGTCACGGGTCCTAGCCTTGTGATTCCTACGTTCCGCTTCACTCCGACGGCGACGGCAGTGAGATTTTTCTTTCGCTGGGGGCGGGGAGGTGGCCGTCCAATACATGCACATATGCGTTCGGAGGATAAAGGATAGCCATGATGGTCTTGTAAGCATGTATGCGTACCGAGGACACAGGGATGGTAATGTTGCTGGTTGGCCGCGTGGGAAGATCGTTGCTTGTGTTGCCAGTGATGGTTGGCGTATCCGTGTTGCGTCTCGTTGGAAGCTGGGGCTGATCCATCCCTCCACTGCGAAAAAAGGCGAAAGCCCTCATCATCACCGCTGCCTTCGCTTGGTTGCCTTATTCGCCTGCCGCACGGTGTCGCCCCCCCCCGCCCTTCTCAGGCCCAGCTCAGCGGGGCTATACCACCCCCGGTCATGTTCCCTCGAGACAACACCGTCCCTTCCCTGGAGCAGACTTTCTTGTCCCAATACAGGTGAGGGAAGAATTCCGGTACAGTACTGGTATATGCTACTGTACCGGCCTATTCCCGAGTTGGAAAGCATATTTTTCCGGGACTACTGTTGGCGCGGCGTTGTTTTGGCTCTGTATTTTTGTGGTATGGAACGCACATTCTTTGGTGTTATTATGCTGCTGTAGCGACAGAAATATTGTGGGCATTCGGGTCTCAACTTCCTGTCTTCGTACTTTCTGGTGTTTGTATGTTGGCGAGGACATTAGAAGCTTACGCTGACTTTGAATATTTCGAGTTTTTGGTTTTGGGGAGGACATCAGCATTCTCTGATTTTTTTGTTTTTACTTTCATTGTTGTGTTTACGACAGGGCCGCGACGAGCTCACAGTCCAGCGTGAAGCTCGACGCCCTCGTCCGCGATCTGGACACCACCCTCCTGCACGACCCCACCGCAAAGTTCGTCATCTTCAGCCAGTACCCTCAGGTTCGTCAACCTTTCGTGGATGAGTTGATTCGGGCCGCGAGGGAGGAGGGGCAGTCTTGTTGTTTCTTTTCAACCTATATTGTGGACATCAGTCTGACAACATCGCTCAGATGAAAAGCTTTCTCTCGATTTTTTCTTGCAAGAGAGAAACAAAAACACGCATCTTTCGGTTCTGTTCCTCTTGGTTGACTGTTGGCTGTTTTTTCTTTAGGCCCTTCCACGGAGTATGAAACCGAACAAATATACCCTACGGAGACATTCGAATCTATATTTTTTTCCGTGTTTTTTTATTGCTGACTGTTATTTCTCGAGGCCTTCCGCTGAGTATAAAACGTTACAAGAATACTCGACGGAGAGATTCGAATACGCCGCAAACTTTGGAGGAGGAAACATCCATCTTGTTGATTTTATGAGAAGGGTCACGTGTTGGCTGTGAAGGCAGTAATCATTAGCACTGCGGCCACCGAGAACACCGAGGGGAGGGGTGTACTCATAGTCGTGCATGCCGTGGTCGTTAGACCATTGACCTCGCATCCCTACAAAGCCGGGACGGAGCACGCCGGGTTCTCACCGGACCAGGCTCTCAAACCAACAAGCGCGAAGCGCCGTGAGGTATTCGGCGAGTCGCATGGAAGGTGCGCTTCATCCTGCTAAGGGTGTTCGGCATCTCGTGCTTACTTCCTTGCGTACGGATGACAGCTGCGTATGACTTAATTTGTTTTCTGGTGTTCACTTCTAGAGACAGTTATAAGCACTGTGTAACTGCCTCGAGGGCGCTTGACCATTTTAACACAACGTGGTGCGATCATCCCCCTTGCGTATGACTTAATTTGTTTTCTGGTGTTCACTTCTAGAGACAGTTATAAGCACTGTGTAACTGCCTCGAGGGCGCTTGACCATTTTAACACAACGTGGTGCGATCATCCCCCTTGCGTATGACTTAATTTGTTTTCTGGTGTTCACTTCTAGAGACAGTTATAAGCACTGTGTAATTGCCTTGAGGGCGCTTGACCATTTTTTCACAACGTGGTGCGATCATCCCCCTTGCGCGAAGTGAGGGTTCTCCACCCCGCACAACGTTATCCACTCGACCACCAATGTAGTAACCGCCAAAAAAAAAAACAGAGGTAAAAAAGAAAAGGGTGTGACGCAAATTACAAGCTCGTTCCATGCATTCTGGAACCTCAGGGCTAGGCAAAATTCCGGTGTTTGTAGACACACCACCTCGGCGGGTCGCTCGGGAAAAGGAACACGATTTTTCTTTTTTGGCTTCCCTTGGAGCACGTCCGTCTTTCCATGAGAGGATGACCATCTCACTACTGGCCACGATGTGTTTGTTTTTCTCTTGTGCTGTTTTATTTTTTTCGGCACAGGTGGTGGATCGAGCGGGAATCGTCCTGAGCGCTAGGGGCATCCGCTCCACCTCCATCGTCGGAGGCCGCACCAGGGTGGAACGGAGCTCGGCAGTCTCCTCCTTCACGAACGACCCGTCCATCCGGGTCATCCTACTCACGACGGGCTCCGCCGCCGCCGGTGCGTATCTTGTGCCCCCCCCCCCTCTTTCTCTGTATCACCGTACACGGTTTGCAATAGTTGTATTTTTTTTATTGTTCGCAGGCCGAGCATGCTGCAGCACCAACAGGAGACGTGTTTTATACCCCGCCCGCCCCCCCCCGAGCGTACATCATAGCTTGTGCCTTTCCCCTCCCCCCCCCCCCCCC